TATACGTTTGACTTTACGTAACGTGCAATAAGCGCCGCACGGAGGAGGAAGAGAGAAAGGGGATGGAGGGATCTTCGACTCGGGTGACCGAGCAACAATATTTGCTTTTCGGCAAAATTGAAATCCTACAGCCTCACTTCGCCTGCAGTCGGTGCACAGATACACGCGTAGATAGAATATAAAACGCTCCTTTCTCGAGCGTGGAGGCGAGTCCTCCGCGTATCCGCCAAAATAGAGTTTCGTTTCCCAAATCGACTTTTTGATACGGCGCGTACAAACTAAAACTGAAAAACGTACAACAAAAATATTGTTGGTGATTTAATCGGAGCTTCGCGTGTGCAATCCAGCGAATTTCACTCCCACACCCGTGGAATTCTGCAAAGAATTATATAACGTCGAAGTCGCATGATTTTCTGTTACATAAATCTGCTGATCCGAGCGGAAGAACGGAGCAATGAATCGGCCGTTTACGAAACGCGCGCGTTACACAACTGCCTAAAAATTTATTTATAGCGCGGCGGTGTGTGCGTCCGGCATTAATATCGGAAATAGATTTGCATATCGTAAATTTCGTTGCGGTAGCTGTGTAATAAAATAATAAATTTCCCCCTCGCAATTACAATTGCGTATTATTTTATACTCGAATACTCACGCACGTGGCGACGTGTAGAAATATATTTCGGGCGTGGGCATCGGCACGTCGAAATATCGATTTATACGACGGCTTCGAGCGAATCTTTTCACTCTTTGCAATACGCGGTCCATTCGCATCTACTCCGTGCCATTGGAAATTCCTGCCGTATACTTTTCAAGACGCTATCGCGCGACGTTCGTCGCGACAGAAAGGAAAGCGTTCGTCTTTCGGGTTTGGTCACCCTCTCGTCCATCTTACCCGCCCGGCAATAGGGGGATAAAACGGTGTCGAACGAATAAAAACCTTCGAAGGGCATAGTGACCGACAAATAACGTACGTATTCGATACACGTAGGAACACGTTACGATGATAAAAAAGAAAAGGAAAAATAACTTAACACGCGGGGACGAGGTACATATATATCCACACTCTTTTCTCGAGCCGTGTATACTGATTCTTCTTCTCGCTTCAACATGGGCAACTTGTCCCTACGTGAATCTAATACGTCACGATCCACGGAGGTTTCACAGGGATAGATAAAAATAAAGCGTCCGGGACGCGGGGTCGCGATTTAATATCGCGGCGCTTTATCCCGGCGCTCGTGCACGCCTCCCAGGAGAGTTTTATCGTAACGACGATGCATCATGGCTATGCATGCAGCGGGATGGAAAGTACGGGGGTCGTTAATTTAACCGGCCGATTGTATTCGTACGTAAATCCGCTTTACACGAAGATAATAGATCGACGGGGCATAGTTGGTCAAGGATTTTGCGCGAACCCGGGCGTAAATAATGCGGGCGTACATCGAAAATGATTTAATCAGCTTCGCCGATGATCTCGGGGTATCGATGACGTTAATGATCGATACGCGGAGCATAGGGGATGAATCGAGATTATAATATCCGACATTGGAACGCGCGCCATTCCTCTACTCGGGCCGACGGCTATTGTCTTTCATAATAATACGCAAGTCGGATCTCCGCGATGTTAGCTGTCGGCTGCATGTCAGGCACCGCCGCCGCCGTTAAGCGTCACACGTCAACATTTAAAAGATCCCGGGCTTCAGGGGCGGAGGGTTAAGGGTCATTAGGCACGAGGAAGGCGTGACCTTTGTGTATCCCGGGACGTTCGGAGCGAATACGGATCACGTAGTCGCACTCGATGCAGCGGGACCGTACATGCATCCGTTCTACGTTAGCGAGCCGTCACGATGCGCCCAGGATAATGTCCGGATTCGTATTCCCACTTGGTTCCCGGATCATGCAGATCCATCTGCCATTATCGGCAAATCCGCCTATCGAAAACGTGATAGCCGACTTTCGCACAATGTAAATCAAACCGCGCTGCTCGGTGCACACAATGCATCTATAAACGCTTTCGCTTTCTTGTTACTGGAGACATGAGATGTAGAGCCGATGAAAGTTGATCGCGCGAGTTTAAACCACAGAAAAGGAATAGTTGGTCCCGCTGACCATAGAATCGGTGCGTGCCCCTTTAAGCGCTTTTAATGGTACGAAAGGACGTTATGATATAAGAAGAATTTTGCACAAGTTCAAAGATCTCGGTGAAGAAAAGCAATTTGCTAGCACTACGTGACTGAAATGCGGTATACAACTCTTTTTAGAAAATCTCCAAGACCGACAGAAAATTTCTCGACGTAAGAATATCGTGTTAGTTCGAAATTGTTATTACGTGGTAAACATTTTCTGGTATGTGTATAAATGATGAAGCGCAGACAAAAATAGATTACGAGGTAATAATATAAAATTCAAAATTTCCATTTTTATTCACACACCTCTTATGTCGACATTCCACGGTGGCGGCGGGCGTAAGGGTTATTTCAATTGTGGCGCACTTAAACCGCCGGCAATTACCGTTAAAATTACACGATACTTACCGGCGCACCGAAATTCTGCATTGCGGCGGGCTCCATTATTTCCAGGCGTTGCCGACTATAGAGTGAGAGTGTTAGTACGCGCTCATTGTGAGCCGAACATAATGCCAGCGACTCTTCAAAACCACCTGCGCACGGCTTGGTAGATTTGCTCAGGTGTGTGCCGGTTATGCGCGGATGCATGCATATATATGTATATATTCGTTCGCAAAATGAAAAGAATCGCGTACGATTATTTATTTCGGTCTGCGGCGACGACAATTTGCATTTCGCTGATGTAGATGAGAATGTCTGTGCGCGCAGACAAATTTATTACTAAAACAAAAAATTTTATTTAAATTCTACATGTCGAACGAAATTCCTTTAAATTGCAATATTTGCATGACGTAGAGGTGAATGTAATTTTCAAATGATTCTCGCAATTTAAGCAAATGCACCGTGTTAAAGATACTAAATAAACAGTCTTTTCGGCGAAGAGACATCTGTAACTGCGAGATACATTATTGCGATTCTAGTAACAAATACACATTACGCACTTAATGAAAATTATGACCGCGCTATCATGTTAGTTCCGGCTAAAGTTTGTCGACCTATTCTTGCCATGCCTGTGGGAGGAAGGGCGATCTGTAAATTTACCGTAGCCTGGTCGACGAGACCGCAATTTTGGCCGGACGGCCATAATTAAACGGGGGAAAACTGGATAATTGATTAGGTATAGGTAGTCTGGAATCGCCAATATTGTCGGATACCAGCACATAAATCAAGCACACGTGGGTATATATGTATATAAACATACACTTTATTATGATAATTTATAATTGCTGTATTATTCACAATGAGTATGAGTAATAACGTATCGTAATTAGATATACAAACTGGTCTATCGAGTAGTAACCTAGACTAATCAAATTGCGGCTAATTATACACGGCCCCACGTTCAATTTCTGATACCGAACTTCCGCAACTTCAATACCGCGAATTTTCCAATTTTGTATCTTTGTTTTTAAACGTTCTCACTTTCGTCAGTGCTATTAAACGGATCGATAATGCTATATTCATTTCCACGAAACATTCCACCCGTTCGTATGAGGATAACACTAATTGGCTGTTGGATTTGTCGATCGGCCAAACGTCCTGATAGGAAAAAAATTGCTACGATAAAAACAAAATATATTGTAATATATATCGAATTATATTCGCTAACATTTACATAGAAAGTACGGGGCTCAATTCCTGCAGCTATATGAATTGCAAATTATTTTTAACCGCCGGATCCTTTTCGACGTTTAATCACCATTACGTAATATCACAAAATTGTCTTCGCTAATATAGCAGAATAGACGTATCTGTCACGGGTAATGTAATTTTTATATATGCGCAACTACGCTATCTCATGGAATTCATAATGAAATGCAGTGGTGCTAGATGCTTATTTTTCCGTTAAAATTGGAGAAATGCCTAAGGCTTAAACGTACGAAAAATAGAATACTCAGCTCACTTCCATCATACCTTGTATTAAATGTATTAGCCTGCAAGTATTTTATTTCTTATCTTAGCTAATGAGCAACTCTCCTATGACCTCCTATCATAACAGCTTCATTCATACGGTTCTTCGAGGAACTCTCTTAATTCCTCATCTCTTAGTTGTAATGATAGTATTATGCTTGCGCAAAATTGATGCAACTCTGATTGACGCTGGCCGATTAACGCATAATTTATATATATCATGTTAACGTTTTCATTAATAAAATTTTTTTCCAATTTGACCGATTGTTAAAATAGTATAATAATCAAATTTATTCATCTACGCATAAAATTAAAAAATATTAAGTATGGTTCACATGTTATGACTGATATTATTAAATGCAAATCAACACGAGAAAATTGATATATTCTATTTAATGTTTATCACAAAGCGCAACACTGGAATAAAAATATTCGTGCTGGGAATAACAAACAAGAGTCGTAGACACAGAAAGATATAGTAACTGAAAATGTAACTTCATACATATGCATTACCATTTCCATATACCATTATAGTTTAGATCTTATTCTCGTTTCGTTGCATTTTTCCCACTATTCGCAATGTTCTGCGAAGTACCACAGGCCGTAACCGGATGGCCAAAATTTATTTACTCGAGTTTGTTTATAACGATATTACATGACAATAATTTATAGTAGAGAAGTTTAATAAGCATCGACAAAACGTTCGATGTAACATTTCTTTTCTGTATACAGGTATATACATTGGTCTTCTATTAAGTTTCGACAAGGTTTTTCGCAAGTATGTACGTAAAGTGACGTACAAATAATTATAATTAAAGTCCGTCACATTATGTAATGATATTAACAGATTACCTTTTATTTAGCTTGCTAGACAGTTATTTGATGAATATTATATTAATCGCAAAAGAATCGATTTAATTTTATAAATTACTGTAAATATTCCCAGCAAAATTTCAATCAATTCATTGGCTATTTCAATATTACAATCAATGTAATAACATAATTTTGATGTTAATATCTAACCAATGTGCGCGTGTGTGTGAAATTACATGAGTAATCTCTTTTATAATGAATTCATAAACGTTGATAAGAGAAACTGTCAACTGAGAATTAAAAGTCCTCTTTACGATATACTTGCAATAAAACACTGCCATACCAAGCTCATCGAAGAATGTATTTCATTAAAATTATTTGTTTCTTTAATTTTCATACAAAAGCCATACCAAACGCCACAGATTAGCGGCACATTCATTACCCTAGATTGGCACCGTGTATTTACGTGCGTAAAATTGCGTATCTACGAGAGAGGAACACAAAGTATGATCCGAGAAAGAGTCTCAAAAGTTAAATACGTATTCTCTTCTCATGCACTGTGCTATTGTCATTATTATGAGAAAGAGAAAATTTGACGCTATGATTTTATTTTCCGTCTACAGCTTTCATCCTCGGCAAAAAATATATATATAATATACTATGTCTCAAACAATATATATGTATATGTGTACGTATGTATGTGTGTGCATACATTTGTTGATAATGAAAATTATGAACGTTTATGAGTACAAACTCCTTAATAGGGAGATCGAGTTATTTTTAGGATGACGATCCACTCATATCAAATATTTTTGAGATGACTATAATTCCGCTAAATTGTCCATATTTTTGTCAAGATATTTGTCATAAATGTAATCCTCAATTTTTATTACGATATTATTTGTGTGTTGAAATATCTCGTATTTCTGGTATTACATATACAACGGCAGCTTTATCGCCTCGTCGGGAAACGGACATCGTAAAAACGTTGAAAGCACACACGAGATACAGCAAATATTTATCGAAACACGTCGTACATGTAACTATATTACCAATTACAATTATCACGTTTTTCAAAAGTATAGATAGATACACGCTTGAACGCACACGACTTTATGTCACGTCTGATTATGCGTTTAATCAATACGCGATAAACTTGGCATAATCGTTCGTCGCACACGAGTTAATCGCTCGAATCCTCCCTTGGTCCTCTCTCGTTAAGTATTCTTATGATGAATTTAAAAGTGGCAAAATAATTTTCAAGGAATTTAATTCTAGCATTCAATTCTCACCATTAGCGCACATTGTCATTTGTCCTGGCGTGAACGATTTCAGAACGTTTTATCCACGTTCGAAGCCAAAGTTACTCTACGGAGCAGGCATCTGTTTCTTTGCTTTTTTTCTTTTATTTATTTTTTTTTTTTCTTTACTCATTAGCGACTTTATATTTCTTCGAAGAGACCGCGACTCGCGTCGTCGCTGTCCGATCGACAGGATAAACAGGATGCCACGAAGAACGCGAGGACACATATATATAAACGATAACGATATATGCATACCTTCTTCCACTTCGTTATCGTGATTGATCCGCGACAAGGGTCGGGCTTGCGGGGGTCCCGGATTAGCACACAAACACGGCATACGAAAAATATTCAGGCATTCCACTATAATAGGACTCTCTTCGTCGCTGACGATCGTCGGACGAGGCTTGCTTACGCGGTCAGAGCTGTCGGCGCTCATCTCTTCATCTCCCACGGCCTGTTCTCAGCTGGCGAACGAGCAGAAGGTAGACCCGTTCCCCGATCGGGGCGGACTAAAGCGTCTCCAGAAAATTCTGTACGAGCAGGGTGGGCGCGGTCACACGCGCCTTCCCTTTTCTTGGCTGTCTACAGGCGCGCACATTACAACGCGGCGCCCGTTGCAGCTGTTCCGACTTGTTGCTGTCTTGTTCGAGTTGCACCGACACGCTGGCCACGCGCGGCCTCGAACATCCGTTCTCCTACAACAGACAATTGCCGATGCTCTAGCGAAATTTGCAGCGATCTCTCTCTCTCTCTCTCTCTCTCTCTTTCCCCATGATTTACACTTTACAGATTACCGCGTCCGTCGCCGCCGCGCCGCGCGCCGGGGCGTATGCATATACGGACGGTAATTGCCGCGTGGATGATAACTCACTCTATATACGGATCGTGACGAATGCGAGGTGCTCTTCGACGAGCGTCGATATACGAAATTTAACGTGATATTAAACGACTGTTACACAGTAGGAGAATACGCAGTTGCGAAAGTTAAAATAGTAACACAGTAATGATGTAGTGCATTAATTAATTAATATCATCGCCTATGAATATAGCGAGAGAGTACATGAAAATCTGAGAATATTAATGCTGAATATCAGTTCAAATATACAGAAGTTTCTAGTTGAACTAAATGCAATTTCAGAATTATGTAGCTTTCGCAAATTCTACTTACTGCCGTACGTCATGCTTTCAGCCATGGCTGACGTTACTTTTGCGTAAATATTTCAAATGCTATCGTGCCACTACGATTTACAGTCGGTTTTGATTTATGATTTATGTATACGCGGTCAAATTTTAAAAGTATATGCATGCGTCTATTTGTATGCCTCCTCTGGCATACAAATAGACGCGCAAGTTCGTTGAACGTATAAGTTCGTTGAACAAAGAAGGGAGAAGGCTGCATTGTTCTCTTTGCGTGACTTCAGAAAAATATTCATTTATTTCTGAAGCTGCTTCATAAATGTTCCAGCAAAAGGGGTAGCTTAACGATTATTATCAGTGTGCACGTGATAATCACAAAAGCGACTTAATCCACAGACAAAGTGATAAGAGGATAATGTGTGGCTAAATGTGCAAGTACTTAAATCTTTAATGAGTGGAACAAGTCGTGCTCGAGGGTACTAAGTTGAAATGAGAGCGGAATGATGAAAGACAGAGGGAAAGAGACTAAACGGAACTACATCCATTTAATTAGAGTTATGGCCATACAACGTGACCAAAGAATCTTAGTCAGGTACCCAATATAGAAACAGTAGCGGGGAAAATCAGAATCGTACATCGCGTATCGTGCTAGTAATAAGTTTTAAGATTATCCACTTTGATAGACAAAGGCCCATGAAGATAGCAGATGGTGGCAAGAGAAACGGCGAACTCTAAATCCGCAAAACTTTGCCACTATACACGCGATGCTCGTATGGCCGAAACTACTAACCGATATACAGAGATTCCGTTGATGTTGATGAGTCCTTTGACGAGACTCGCTTTGTAACTCCCACGCACGAATGTACAAATCCCCGCGATAGATGAAGCCTCCTCGTTTCGCTCGTAACATTAAATGCCATCTGAAACAGAAAGGAAAATAAAATTCCACATTGTTAGCATGCCACACAATTCATATTTGTTTGCTTTCGTGTAAAATTTGTGTAAAATTATGTTGCATAGCGAGCTGTATATTCCGTAGGCAAAAGCGTTTTTTTTAGAGGTCCATCTTTTATATAATATATTATATCTTATATTATAGAAATAGCATATTATATTTTATTATAGAAAGGATTCACAATTGCTGAAGAGAATAAAGATTTATTTCCTCTTTAAATTGAATCTCTCTCTCTCTCTCTCTCCCCCCTTCTCTGCTTGAAATTCCTCAGTATCGATTTTCGTGCTGATGTAGTACCCGTGTCATTATTCAACATCCGTTCTCACCCTCCATAAAATAAATTCGTAAGTGACATACCCTTTTTTACGCGTCACTTGCGCTCTAAGTTCATCCGTGGTCTTTCCACTCACGCTCGAGCATCGTATTTACGAGGCGTAAAAGAGAGGAAATTGATAGACGAGAATGATACAAACGTTCGCGATCTTATATCCACGTATATTTGACTCGTAAACTCGGCTATGGTATATTTTCGATAGCTTCGATGTAAAATATCTATACATAATACAATTTTTGTTCCACTTTAGTCTGTTTATCTTAGAATCGTTTGATTATGATCGCAAAAAGAACAATTTATACATTAATCAATCAAGCTGCAATTTGTTATGTTCGAATCGTTACTTGAAATATCATCGATCGATACACCGAAATAGCGTGTACGAAATATTTGTATACTTTTTTTTTTGTCAAAACTAAAACGGCCGCATTGCGACTCTTACAGGTTTACAACTCACGTAACGCAGAAAGATACAGCTCCAATGCGTCGTGCGTCATAGACGTAATATCGCATAATTGTAACTCAATAGCTTTCTCTCGCAAGCGAATGAATCTTGTGATGTCAAAGTGAACGCTGTATTGTGTCCCTGCTGCACATTCAGTCACCCGAATAATCCTGATCGTTATCAAGGCCGTAACATTTACGCGGACGCAGTTAGAGCAGGTTCGAAGCATTGACAATACCAGCGTTTTCGTACCGGTTAATCGAACGCGTGCCTATGTATATCGAATAGCTAGCTTCACCCCTCATCCAGTATCAATGCCGATATCGACCCGCGCCAGCGACAACGTTGACGTTCGCCTGGTCCGAGCCGACTGTAATCGCAACGTGACTTAGCAATCTCACGTGTCTCCGAGCACATCGGGTCAGTTTGAAATCGCTCGTGATCGATCGTATACGTCCTACTGGGAGATAGTCATGTTACTGCAACATGCAGTTGCACCAACATGACCAATTCAGTCTAAATAATATCAAAACAAAAACACAGTAGTTGTTAAAAAAGTATATCGGAAAAAATTCAAAAAACTACGGTATCACTGTTGACTTTTTTTTTTTAACATCGAAACCAGCACAATTTTGGCAAATCCATGCGGATATTAAAATATAATAAAATCTTATGTTTCTCTCTAAAGCAAAAATGAATACCGCTGTGCAAATACCACTTATGATTTCGCTAGAGGATTTAAGGATTAAAGTTTTGCAGAATTAAAGTTTTGCGGTGAGTATTGTTAAAGCCAACCGCGAGCCCTTCTATCTCGGGCGGACATTCGCGTGAAATAAACTCTAACTCAACTGTGGTTGTAACGAAGTGGTAACGCGCGCGGCTATACCGCCGGTCATATCGGCCGTTCGGTGGTTCACCGATAGAACCGGATGAAACACGGGCGTTCCATGAATTATAAAATCGCTATTTACAGCGAAAGATAGAGGCCGCGTTCGGCTGGCAATGGTCGCGCGCGAATACGCCGGTGTAATATCGCATCCTGCCTCGCGGAAAGCGATAGCGGCGAAGGTGAATCTAAAATTATTGCGACACACGCGCATTTCTTTCACGCGTCCAAACTGTTGTTGCAAGTTACGTGAGAGATCTCGACCACAATCGGAACTGTTCGTCACGATCGTAACGATGCATCGTTACGGTTCGCGATTGCCAGCGAAATTGGCAATACACACATCTTTTGCAACACACGCGCTTTCATCTCGCGTTTATTACGAATGTTAAACTTCAAAGAAAAAACAAAAAAAGAAAGATTTGCGCGGACAAACGCGTTGCGTTTCATCGGACAAACCTACCTACGGCGATATACAGATAGCGTCGGTAAATTCTCGATTTATCAGTTCGTTGAGCGCTTAACGCAACGGCGCGCGGTGCGACGACGTTACCGCGCTCGTGCCATTATCTCCCGTACAGTGGCTTTTCTCTAAATTTATATGTCTGATAGGAAAAAACAAGTGCGAGGAAGAGGATAACTCGATAAACCTTCACTGTAGCCAGCCATTCGATTAACGTGTTAATCTTTATTCTAGATGTTATTTTAAACGATTCGCCTGCGCGCTGGAACATATTCATTTTGACTTTAGCAGGAGTTACAATTACGAGATAATTTCGTTGTGCTTAATGAAAGTTTTAAGTTAACTTTGCACGTTAATTAATGAGCCAATAAATATTTATCTCAATGCGTACGCACCACATGCGCTTCGATTTTCAAATTATTTGAATTGGCATAATTTAATGATAGGCAAATAAGTAAATTTGAACAATATAAATGAGACTATATTTCAAAATTATTTTCACATGCAAGCGTATACTTTCGACACTCGCTGCACGTGACTTTGCATTTTACAGTAATTTAGCCAAATGTTTTGAAAATGAAATATTTTGTAGAATTCTTTAAATGAAATGGAAACGCATTGGACAGAAAACATTTGTACCAAGCGATTTCACATGCGATGATCAAACGATTTTAGCATATTCACGGAGAAAATGCGCTTCTAAAACGTGACAATAATTGGCGATATTTTCGGCAGTTATAATCTTCTCTATTCAATAATAAATAATGTATTAATTGTCGCTGCTGTTAATTTAACTATAAAAAATTATTGCTATAAAACAAATGATTAATATATATAATTATAAAATGTTGAACATTTCTTTTTATACATTTACAAGTTTCCGCGAAAATTATTTTTGCGAACGAACACAATGTTTATCTCATTATCAAATTAATATACTGCATAGCGTTATAAAGGAGGATGCCCACGGTATAGGGGGGTTTCTGCCTGGAGATATACCCTCTCAAATCGGTAAATTCAATTAGAGTATGATGAAACCTATTGGCCAATACTAAATTCAATTGTTTCATAGGCAGGGAAAGTTGGGAAAATCATGTTTGAAGTTTTCCAAGTCGGGCCAATGTTGACTCTTATTACTTACGATTTATCAACGTTTAATTCGTTGAAGGCTAAGATATTTAAACGTGAAAATTGCTTTATATGGATTTTGGGAGTCGCAAAATTTAGATCTAATGTTAGATTTTCGAAATTCAAAATGGCGGCTCCAGTATGGCGATTAAAAGTAGAAAATAGATAATTTTTATGAAAATGGATATTCTAAGATTTTTGAACTCGTTGAATCCAAATATATCAGAATTTTAAAATTATTTTAAAAATGTCAAAAAAAATATTAAAACAAAATAAGTAAAAAAAAAATTAAAAACAGAAAAAGTAAAAAAAATAAAAGAACAAAATGAGAATATATACTCGCCACCTTTTCGTTATTTCTGGATTCAGCAAAGAGCAAGAGTAGTAGCGTTTATTTTATAATAAAGAAGAGATTAATCTTTTTTGGTTCGCCATATTGAACTTTAAAATTCTGATACCATATTTGGATTCAGCGAGCTCAAAAACCCATATAAAGCAATTTTCACATTTAAATACCTTAGCCTTTAACGAATTAATCGTTGATAAATCGGAAGTAGTTAGAGTCAACATTAGCCCGACTTGGAAAACTTTAAACATGATTTTCCCAACTTTCCCTGTCTATAAAACAGTTGAATTTGGTATTGGTCGATAGGTTTCATCATACTCTAAATGAATTTATCGATTTGAGAGGTTGTATCTCCAGAACAGAAACCCCCCTATACCGTGGGCATCATGCTTTATTAGCCGTAAGAATAATTAAATAGTATATTTATATGAATAAATTTGAATATAAACTTAAATATATACATATCTCTTTTGTAAAAATACTTTGTAATAACAAGTGAATACAAAAGAAAAATGACACTGAAAAAAAGATTATAAGTATCCGACCGAGTCATTCTTCATATTTTCTATAACGTTCACCCTAAGCACGAACACCCTGTGGAGCATAACTCCATTGTTAACGACAATGTAGTGGAAAGACCTTCGTCAATGGCTGAGAAAATTGCGTCCAAAGACTATTAGATTTTATCTCTGTAAGAAACCATGGTCCATCTCGATGACTTATTGAGCAAGATATAGCATATTTCATAAGAACTGAGATAACACCTTTTTCCAATCTTCCTGTTGTCATAAATCGTATGAAAATTATATCAGTTTTTATTATCTTGCACGTTCTATCATATGAAATAAATTAATTATTTTTACAAATAATTTTATTTAAAATGAAACAAGATATTATATTCTAAATGAAATTATAAATGAAATAAACGTACACTGAGAAAACTCTCTAATATCTTATTTACCTAATTTTATAATAAAAAAATATACGTGTTTAAATATTTTTTATTGTACGAATATAAATATATAGTTACTTGTCTGATCTTGTGAGTATATTAGAAATATCTGCAAGACTTACTCTCTAAATTTTTGGAGTGAAATTTCACTCTAAAGAGTGAAAATACTGCCACTCAAGTGGCCGAGTGACAGTATTTTTGCTCTTTTGGAGTGAGATTTCACTCTGTTGGAGTGAGATTCACTCTAGAAAATTTAGAGAGTACATAAAATATTTCATAAAAGATATATTTTCATTGAACTACTTGATAGAGAGAGAAAGAGAGAGAGAGAGAGAGAGCAACTGTCCTAAAATAGTATCGTAATATGTCACACGTTCAGTCGGTGGTTTCCTCGACAATGTCAATATCATATTGTACGTCCATAAAAGCGGACGGTGGACGAGATATTCGATATCGAGCTACGTGCCGATCGCGACACTTAATTACTTCAGATCGGAAACGGCGTGTCCCGGAGCGAGGCACAAATGAAACCGTGACCCAATCAACGAAAACCGCAGGCGATTTATGAGAAATTAATCCGACCATCGCGTACGGAATGGAAAGCGGAAATATTGGGAGCTCGCCTCGGCTTGGCTTTAAATAAATGAAACGTGAAGCACCCTCGCGTTATAAAAAGTTTGCGGCACGTTTTCCCCGTTGACGACGACGCGATTTGAAATAATATAATTAAACAAGGTCACTGTACTGCCGTTTACGGGCGTCGGTTTGAATAATGCCTTTCAAACTCCGTCTCGCACGTTTATTGACGGACAAGAATATTCCGAATGATATAATTCTTCTACAACTGCAGATTTGTTCTGTCGCCATTGAATGGAACATCGAGCGACAAACGTGAATTCCTCGTTTCTAGCAATGTATAGTTCATATACTCATTGCGAATAGCATGTAAGTTAAAAGCATATATGTATGTCCATAAATTGCCTGGTGAATTGATCAATATGACGTGATAAAATGTCATAGGTTTAAGATAGCTTTATAATTCCTTTTTTAACAGAAATTTACAGAACGTAAACTGTTCATCTGAATTTTCTAAAAACGCAAATTATAAGGATAATTACATAACACAAAATAATTGCTCTATTTCTATTTGTGGAAAAAATTGCATTCAACGTTATTACATTACTTGGCATTTACTACGTGTAAAATACTCAGCTCCAATGTACAAAATTTAAATGGATATAAATACAACAGGTAGCGGAGCAATTATTCGTTAGTTTGTATTTATCTAGATCTCGTGTAAAATGGTAATTACCTAGATCTCGTAAAAAGGCAACAGTTTAAAGTTTCTTTCTATTTTCCTTCGGCCACTACGCAACTATATACTTTATGCCCTTTACCCCCCCAATCCGTTACGGGCTGCGGGGAGATTTATATTTGCATTTAAAATTCGAGCGATGCGCCACATCTGTCAAACGATGCATATTGAAATTTCGCGTGTGGTAGCAACATAGAGAGGAGAAGAGAGAGAGAGAGAGAGAGAGAGCGGTTCGCTGCTCGACCGCCTGTCCGCCGGCGCCTCTCCGAGCGTTGTTTCTCCAAAATTTAACCCCCTTTCGCCCCGTTGCTCCTACATCCCCCGGGCCACGCCTACGTGCCTATCTCTGGACTCTGCAAAATTCGTATACGTTCGGGCGATTCGCTGCCGCGGCTCTTCGTTGTTGGCAAGCCCGTCGAAATAAAGAGAGAGAAGGGGTAAGAGAATGAGAGTGAGAGTGAGGGAGAGAAAGAGAGAGAGAAAGAGAACACTAACTACAAAAACAGCGCGAATCGTCGCTGGCAAATTTACCGTGCGTGTTTTATAGGCGCTATTTGCACACAGCAGGACGCGGGAGGATTACAGTGCGAGGGTGGAAAAATGGGCGATGGGGTGACGGCAGTCGCAGCGAAAACATGGGGACCAGCCGCTTGTGCGCCCGTTATCGTATAATCTACGTGTGTACGTAGATGTGCCGCGTACATAAACGGCCGATGGCGAACTCGGCCGTCGAGACAGAACGATCGCATCAACTCGCGAGACAGTATCGAATCTGTTTTCGTTTTTTTTCTCTCCTTTTTTTCAATTTTTTTATTTTATTCTTCGATTTATTTCGCGTGAAATACGAAAATCGCGTGGAATTTTTAATCAACCCGCCCGGAACGGAGAGATCGAGTCCGAAGAGATCGTCGGAAAAAAATTGAATTCGTCTATTGATTGCGAATTGACGTGCGCGCTAACGTACCGAGTACTTGCCGCGCGAATAAGCCCGCCGCTCGATTCACGCAACACTGTAAAGCCCATCTGAAATTGAAAGGATTTCCGCGCGACGGAGCCACGCTTCGTCGCATGCACGGAATTCGTAACACGTGGAAAAGCTCGTGTTTGTACACGATCTCGCGCTGTTGCCGAGGAAATTACGAATTCGGACATTACGTTGCGCAAACCCAAACTAGAGCGATATTCTCCGGACTATGTAGATTTGATGCTATTTTAAGTAATCCGAGGAAATGGATTTGACGCGACTCTTTCGCTCGTTTTAACGCGTTTTTTTTTGTGCGAATTAGGTTAGATGCGTGGAAGAAAACAACATGTGATGTTATTCTCATAATAACCTTTATATATACATATATATATATAGGTATATATATAGAGTATGTTTTTTGGAAAGGAGTTTCGAGTCCCACTTTCCCAGTTTGTAATGGCGACTTTATACGTTCCAGGAATATGTACGCATACACATGCACGTGGAATGCAAATGCTCACCTGATGATGAGCTGGTGTACTCTAGACCACTGACCTCGCGACCTCAAAATCCTGAGCGTACCAATAAGCGACGGTTTGTGCGACGAAAAGATCTCCATTGCTTTGAAATAGTAGCGGAGCGAGGGCAACCACTTGCCTGAAAAGAGACAAAAGCAAGTTTTGCCGCGAGTGTAAATTTAGGGTTGCGATCATGCGAACTGCCTGGGTAACTGCTAACTCTGACGAGATTGTTCTATACTTTCGCCGACAAGTAGTGCTTCTCCTCTACCCGGGATTTGAAGGTCTTCCACTTGCTACTCTGAGCTTATTTCATTTAGCAACTCACCGTTCTTGTATAACCAGTAAGCATACTCGGCGAGGGCGTCCGGGTTTCGTGGCTGTAGGTGAATTACGTGCCTCAGGAACTCGCCTGTTGCAGGACCGGTTGCGATTCTCGCTAGAACTCTAAATGCCGGCGCGTATGCCGGATCCAGCGATACGCATTTTCTTAGCATCTCGATGCACCGCTCGGTTCGATTTGTTCTTCTGAAAGCAGAATTTTACGAACGTGAAGTATTTTGTACAGGCGCGTTACGAAAAATATTATTTAATCTGAACAACTTTTAATACACAAATTCTTACATATTTAACCAATTTGATTCTTTTATAACGTAAAATTTTTCTATACGGAATACCAAATAAATGATATTTGAACAACATGCGTATCAATTTCTAGCGTATTATATGTACACAATCAGTTAATCGAAAGATTTCAATGGAACATAATAAATGGGTAAAGAAACGTAATATAATTGGAAGATTGCCATTTATTATTCTTAACTAGTAATTCGATTCTAATTAGCGTCAATTATAAAATTCCATGCATATCGTTCGAATAATATTATTTAATCACTCAATACCGATCGCGCGCGCCGGTCTCAGTAATATCAACACGAATATTTATTTCTTGCTTGGGTCGCTTTTATTATTCGATGAAAATGCTACATATTTCAAAGTAGGTTGATAGGCCGGTAAAGGCTCGGCCGTTGAAAAGACCAACGGACAAGGACATTTACCGCGGTAAATTTGGCGTTCCCGTACAAATTGAACGGCAATTTCGCGAAAGCGTCCGGTTGAATTATAGTCGTGCGCTTTCATGTAATCGACTTTACGCCCGACAAAAGACTCGGTAATTGTCAGAGAATGCCGACGCCAATAATGCCGATCGACAATTCCGTTTTTACTGTTTACGCCTGTAGTTTGAGCGATACTTTTTACCAATATCGCTCTATCGATCTTTTCATCTGATGGAAAGGGGAAATATTAATCGAGATAAAAAAGCGGTCATGTGAACGCATATCCGTCTATATGTAAGATATATCTTAGATTAGCTCAAAATATATCTCAAAGGCAGGTTTTTTCCACAAATTTTTGTCGTATATTATATCCTATGCCATTATATTTGCTAATCTTTACGTGAATCATTTCTGGATCGCGAGAAATATTTTATGCTACATAAAATAATGTGCAAATATTTGAAAAAAAAATTAAATCTTTGCAAAAATGGATACCTTTTTGAACAATGAGGGTATATTTTTAAAATATATATATGTTTGTATATTATATTATACTTTTTGTTTTTAATTCTTTTCAGTTTTTTTTCTAATTGATCTGCGTATCATATTTCTCACCAGAGAATGAAATGGTTGGAAACCGTCGTTCTATATAATATCACATTAACGATATTTGAGAAATACAAACAAACAAATTGTGTAAAATTCCAAACATTTTCATGAGAAACAGCAAATTTTATTTATATTTCTACATTTTTAAAATAAATAATACGAATAACATTCAAATAATATATTCGCGATAATAACGCATATTTTCTGTAATCAAAATTCTCTGTACGCAAAAACATGTGCCTCACGGTTCACGCGCACATACAGTTATTTTATTTTAAAGAGAATCATCTTATTATAGCACACGTCGTATGTGCACTGATTTATCATTCCTGTATCCAATATCTGTATATTCCACGTTAAGTTATTGTATAATTCATTCAATGCGCAAATACATATACATCATGTAAAATCAATTATAACACAAATATGTTACGTTATACCAATAATATAATAAAAACAAAGCTAAAACATATCGTGGTTTCTCGTGTTTTAACGATATTATATTACAAAATGTTACGCTGATATGTTATGCTTATATAAGATTGTTATGCTTATATAGAAAATCGTTATATTAAATAGTTGATAGATAATTATGTTTGATTATACATTGAATTAAACATTATAGAAAATAGTTGAGTTGAATTTATTAAAAATTTTTTCGTCTATGCTATATAAAAATTTTTTTAATGAAAATTAATTGCAAAAACAATTCTTTTGTTTTTGTGATTTCTATTGTTTACGTTAATAGAGATAAAAATGAAACAAATATTATAAATAAAATATATAAACAATATATAATATATATATATATATATATATATAAGTAAATGAAATATCAAAAACATTCAATTAGTTGTATAAATATTTTGGATATGTGCAGATTTCAAATAAAATTTCTCAGTAGAAAAAGGAAGCGAAATAAATGAGATCGCTTGTTTTCACAATTTACGCACAATAAACGGAAAATTGTTCCACGCACGCATCGGTCGGCCGCGTGTGTCCTATTTCTGCCTTTAATTAAATTTTAATTTATCAAGTAGGAAGACGTTAATTAAACTTTAATTTTAACCATGCCACCGGAATTACAGCTCATGCTAAATTTACCGTCGGAAACGCGGCTTGCGCTGGGTCGATAACCCGTTGATATAACGGCGAACTAGGAGATGGGGAGATACTTTTATCATGCAGAAGCGCCCAACGGTTTCCTAGTAATTAATTGACGATGGTGCAGTTCATGAATTGTACCGATGGCTAGACCAATTGATTAAACAATATGAGCAATTGATAATCCGCAATGTAATATAATGCACCCTATTCTCGGAGAGAAAGTGTTTATCACTGACCTGTACAATCGTCCGAGATTATAATGCGCATTTACGTGACCAGGTTGAGCGTTAATTGCTGCTAGAAAATGATATTCCGCTTGATCGTCTATCGTGAGAGTTCCAAGATTATTATGTGCACTGGCGTACCCTGGCCAAAGCCTGGAACAAAGGAAATTATACTTTTATAACATTTAATTTTTTATTATACACACATATATATATATATATATATATATATATATATATATATATTATATGTTCACATCATATCCTCATATTGTATCATATAGTGTGAAAAGAAATAATGATTGATACTTCTTGAATATAATTTTCGCAAAATTCGCAAAGTTTCACAACTGTGTTCTTAATTTACTCACTCAGTACTTTATCATATCGTATGTACCGATTATTATAATAATATGAAGTGTTATTCTGTAATTTTTTTAAATATTTTACTGAAAAATTTCTGGCAGTTATACAAACCGGTGTGAAATTACTTAAATGAATCATAGATCGCGAACAATTGGAGAATTAAGGGAAAAGAATGGAAGAGAAGAGTGAGTCGGCTACAAAAAAAACAGAACGCGAAAGAAAACAAAAGGATAAATTGAACAGACCGCGCGATGGAGGCTCTACAAGCGAGATAATGGATCGGAATTACCCCTGGCCGAATCCATTAGCCTTTGATGGTGTCCGTCATTCTAACGCTAACGGAATAGTATTTCCGGCTACGAATCATCACTGAATGCATTTTTAAAACGTTTGTCAAAAATAATCCGGCAGATAATTAGTCAATGTTCTTATTTAATAAATGCAATTACTTGTTAGAGAGCTTAATTTACATTATAAATAACATTGCAATAAATTTAGGTCGATCTGTTTTTAGTTTTTTTAATTATTTAAAATTGGAGAAAATTAAATTAACTCCGCAGAGAAGTACTGTTGGCACATTTATATACGGATGCTTGCTCTCAGATTGGTTTCCAATATCTGTCACTAGAATATATAGAATTTCGGGTTTGAAATATTCTCATATGCAAACATATTTCACGATCGAATAGTACTCGTAAGATATTCTAACTGTGAGACATTAAATGAAATTGGCCGAATCGGCTAGCCGCTAGAGAAAACTAGAAATTGGATGTATTACATATTGCGCGCGACTTTGGCTCAACGTCAAGATGTATCGGAAAATATTAGAAGAGAAAGATATCTACCAGGCAGAATCCAAGGTTGGATGTTCCGTATAGCGGTATAACGGCCCGGCAGGGGTTACTTCCGAGAGCTCAGTAAGGAACCGTCAAGGGCGAAGAAAAATACGGAGATAGGATTCGTGTAAGAGTTACACAGCGGAATGAGAAAAGCGGATAAAAGTCCAAGAGGAAATTCAACGCTAGACCGATAACACGGGGGAAAAAAGGAAGGATAACTCAGTCAATGTTTTATACGCGTATACTCTTGGCGAGAGTCCATTTCCGTATGTGCATTTGAATAACAGATGATTTAATTGTTCTTGACGGAGTTAATACTTTGCGAAATTTGATAAGATACGTTCAACGGGGGGAATTGGGTGAGACATCATTTTGTCGTTCCACGAAATTCTTCATCGAGATGCAGCGCCGGCGCTCGACGACGAAATGGAAATTTTTCGTCGCAAGTCTACGACGCGATCTCGGTTATAGGTAGTTATCAAATTCTTCGGAATTCCTACCGCCGTCTTAAGATGCAGACATGCCTTGTACCTTGGCTTCCCTGCCTCCGAAGAAAGAGGATTGCGTAGAAGGTATGCGTTGCTTCCGTCGGGGATAAGTCACAATCCGTGAAAATACTAAGAGTGTGTCTGGGAGAGTGAGAATACAAGGCAATGGAGGACGACGAGGAAGTCTATCCGAGTAGTAGGGAGCCTTGCATGCCTTCCTCCGAGAAAATTCGGTCGGAGGATCGTGACGGATTCAGAAGTTGCTAGAACTCGGCGCGGCTCGGGGAAAAGCGTTATTCTGTCGAATACGGCGGGAATTCTTTCGTGAAGAATTGACGGAAGTTGCCGTTTAACCAAAGTGAACATCCCGGGAGAAAGCGTCGTTGCGTGAAATCTAACTTGTTTGAAAGACGTCTTAATAGGATCAATTAGGAAACGAGAGGAGCGAAGTAACCGCTCGTGACGAAGAAATCGCTCCCGAAGAGATAATCTGCATGTCCTTCAAGCGCAAGTGTGCCGAATGACACGGTTGCGGAAGAACCGCAGCCATTATTTCGCTGCGAAAGAAAACTCCTGTTCACGCTCGATAAACTTTCTTTTAAATTTCAAATCTTACAAAAATACCTCCATTTTCTCTTGACTTAATTTCCTATTTTATTTCAGTTGAAATATGCGATGTTGAATTTTTCTTTATGTCTGTACATAATTCCGTAACAATTTCTACAAAGTCAGTTAGTTAAAACTTCTAATTACCTACATCTCCAATTATATATCAATTTTGCTATTTTAATTATCTACAAAGATAGTAGAAAGAAATTGTTGTTATGCTATCCCGGTCAATCTCTGGAGTGATATTCGAGATGCGTTGCACGTTTCCGAGGATAACTTGGGATCGAGTTAAGAGAAAATCAATCAGCTGTTTCGCAAACTTCGTTAAAAGTTTTCACGTGTGTGCGCGCGGATGCTGCGGGATGTGTTCCTTGAAAATCACGGCTTAAAAGAAAGTAGTTGAAGAGAACGTACTTCGCGCAGCGGGTTGCTTTGCGAATCTTTTTGCAGTGCATGTGATTAAATTGTCGCGTCTTTTATGCTTGGACGGCAGGCAAAGCGTTTGATAATCCCGGATTTTCATATCTCGCAATCTACATATAGGCTATATCAGGCTTGCTTCGTTGCCCAGTCCCGCAACATGTTCACTACCATGCATGTGCAAAACAACCTCGGGCTAGTCGCCTCTATAAAGCTGTACAAAGTTTTAATGAAGGCCATTTTGTCGAATGGCTTAGCTACACAATTTTTCATTTGGCCCATGACACATACACATACACACAAAGCGCACCTAGCAATCCATTTGAAAAGAATCAGTACAAAACTTTAAAAATAGAAATTTAAATATACTAAAAAATACTGTATCATTGCATGCCTACAAATAACTTGTGTGGGAAAAGATATGGAATAAATTACCATTTACATAACGAAAAAAAGTACAAATGAAATTGTTAAATATACATTTGGGTATAAAATATTTTATATAAAATGTTGGTTTTCATATAATACTATAAAAAGACCTGTATTAAAATAGAAGGCTGGATTTATTAAGTAGTATTTTTACAAACTTTTCTGTTTTTTAACAAAAATATGCTAATACTCTACTGAATGATTTGAATAATGAAGACTTAATATCGAGAAGAATTGCTAATTATTGGATCGTATAAAGTAGAATCGTAAGATCAGTATGTTATAATAATTAATCGAAAAGTAATTGGCCACCGAGGACTTCTTCCCTTCCTTGTAACTCGAGATTCTCTCATGCGACGTGCGGAATATGTGCTGTCGAAAACTAGTGTAAAAGATGGAACGCCGTACAGTGGTCTCCGGAGAGGGACGCAGAGAAACCTCGATATTTACACGTCAGAGGTTGCCACCCCCGTAAAGTACCCAGCGGGGTGCCGCGTGCCAGGAGTGTCTCTTTATTGGATAATAAATAACCTGTTTCATTTATAAGAAGGAGATAAAGTGTGGTAGACTATGTTCCCCAGATAGATCCTTCCTCGCCGACCGCCTTCCCATGCAGCATCATTTCCCGGAAGTTGAAATTGCCAAGTATACGAACTGTACACCGAGTACTGTCTAACATTTATTTAATACATCTGACGTGACGGAGTTCTTTTCGCTATCAAAAAAGTAGATATACGATAAAGGAGAAGAGACAAATGTGTGAAACATATAAATATCTTAACCAAGAACTATCGTAAGCAAGATGCACTGTAGTAAATTTTTCTTGAACTTGTTACGATTTCACAAACTTAATCATCCAATATAGATAATTATAAAACTAAATATATAGTAACATTTTATTTTAACGTTGCTACAGAAAAGATACAGAAAAAGAAATAAATTTATTCTAAGAAAATATATTTAGAAAATATATATAGTTTTATGTATTCTTTAAATATACATATACAAATTATATGAGAGTGGAGAAAGTATTCCAACATTGATTCACGTAATCAATTTTTTCTAAGCAATAACAAATAAATTGGAATGCATGGCGAAAGAAAAAAAACAAAAAATTGACAAACTCTATGATAGTGTAATATTTAAAAACGTTAATTTAAAATAGTTTTACAACGCGCGTTTTCAATCAGAAACAGAATAAAAAGAGCGGTGATTTCAAGCATCGATGCCATAAACTAAATTTAGATTCGAACACCGTGCTCAACGAAGTCGCATCACAACTTACCGTTGGTGTTTCCCGTAAAAGAAAGCTCGTCTGCGACTAACCTAAGATGGCTTAGTTTTTGTAAGATTTTCCGTCGTAATTTTCGATAGACTGACTTTATGGTGGCAGAGCATCGTAAAGTTAAGACAGCGACGATGCCAAGCATTTGAAGATTGAAAGAGGAAGAAAGATAAAGAATTGGATATAAAGAAATGTGTATGTGTATATACATATATATATATATATATATATATATGTGTGATATAAAAATATAATTAAAATTAATTTTAGACCGCGCGTTGCTAGGACACCGCTCCCTATAAATATCTCTTTGCGAATGCGAAACTATGACATGAGAGCACCGCTATGTTGCACCGCGAAGAATCGATGAGTAAACTACAGACTCGCATTGCTCGCACGTCGGAAACGTCGGTGGATAAATTGACCGCACGGCTTCCCTTTTCATAGCACCCTCTACATTGCAGGTTCATTGTATACATGTACGTTTCACGTTAGCTCAATACGCTTCGATCGATTCGATAGATTGTACTAAGTTTCGTCGCGAGCAGAATAATTATACGTATAATATGTATATATGACAAAAAAAGTAATAATATTGAATATTGACATTTCAATAACATTTTCCATAATACTCTCTAAAATAATAGTAATAACATTCGCAATCAAGAGCATGGCTAGAACAGCCATCAGTCTTAGCATGGCTCTTACAAGCCTTAAGATAATATTACTACTCTAGCTGAGAGTCATAAATACGCACGAGCTTTACCCTCGTAAAGCATTATTAAAATCGCAATACTTAGGATACAGCGAACGCTACTAAACAACTATACGAAGTTTCTCGTATAGCTGCAGCCTTACGCAACGCAACCGCGTCTTATGCAAACTGAGTTATGGTAGCTTTATTCCATTATTTTTGTACTGAGCACAAGAGAGTTCCGCTTTACTCGTTGAACTAATAAGTATGCTGTGCAATGAATATACACAATGAACTTTTTAATAACTCTGGTCTTTTCCATTTATAGTTTTTACAAAAAAAAGTCGACGATGGAAGATCTGTGTAAAACGATTAAATGTCAACGCGAGGGTTCTCATTTCGATAAAAAGATAAATCGAGCGTAAAAAAAACCATTAGTATTAATTGAATAGCTTTAACATTGGTTCTTGCGAAATGCACTCGGGGAACAATATGCCAGTAAATTATTGTTAGACTGTCGATATTATTCAGGCGAGGCATCGCCATATAGCCGCGCGCGACTCGTTTCTGAATGTTTCCTTCTACGAGCGATTGTCCCGAGAATTTTTATTGCGGATCAGCGTATTCAAGGGATTTCCTTCGCACTTGATTTACTGCGAGATACAGAACCCTGCACACACCAAGCGTGGTTTTATGCTCCGGGGCTGAATAATAGTAAAAGCACGGCGTCGTAAAACTGCAATCAAATAATGCATTATCGTAAATATACGGCTGTATAATGTCCGTGTAAAATTCTGATGGTTTATATATCTCGTCCACGGCCGCGGGTATCTACGATCCAGCAACAATGCATCACCTGAAAATGGCGCGTATCGCGATGCTGGTTTCGCCACAAATCACAAATAATGATATCGACTATAACCGAAAAATTTTTAAAGCCGATGCACTTTTAGACAGCCGAATTTCCACGGTGCTTATTTGAATAAGTTCTTTTTTCCTATTTTTACGCAGAGCGATAAATTTTTTTGAGATTCAAATAGTGAGAATATGTGGAGTACTTGTTTACTCCCAAGATTAATTTGCTCTGAATTCTTTTCTATATATACAAAAGAAATGTATTTCTAATTGTAGATGCGCGCGCACATATATTATTATTGAGACAAGATTAAAAGATTAAAGAGATTAATTATTATTTTTTATACAAACAGAAAATACGCAAAATTATACGATAAGACAGATCTGTTAATAATAAGATAAGCAGAGAGTATCATGAAGTTTTAGTGTTTCGTGGCAATCGACCGAGAGAACGAAAAAGCGGGCCGTTGGGGAGTAACGCGACTGTGTAGCTAGGTACCAAAATAATCGGAAAGCGAGAAGAGAGACGAATGAAAGAGAGCGAAGGAATGCATTTTCACGATACGGTCTGCTTTTCCCGGCGAATGAAAAGCAAACAGAAAAGTCGCGTCTTACCTCGATTCTATGACGTTCTATCGACCGAGTATGCTCGCCCCCTTCTTTCTCATTTCATTCCGCCTTCCTCTTTATCCTTCGCTCATAATTCTCAGGACACCTCGCGCCATTCTTTCCACAAATGCAATAAGCGCTACAGAGAAAGAGAGAGAGAGAGAGAGAGAGAGAGAGAAGGAGAAAAAGAGACGGGAGCGAGGTGAGCCTTGGAGTGGAACACCTCGGGAGAACTCTATGTTCTTCCGGTGACGCTCAATTATTACTTGTGCACGGACCGGGTCAATCTCAGGCTACTTTAAATTACTTACTCGACGCGATATTCCGGAGGGAGCAGAAACTTCGTCGTGGCTCTCCTCGGGGAAATTTCGTACGACAGATCGAAAACTAATTCGTCGCGCGAGGATCAAGAGTAAAGCGGAATGTTGGAGAGCAATGAACGAGACGACGCGAGATGCGAGAGACGCGGTAGAAACGCGAGAGATGTACACGAGGAGGGTCGAGCCATTATTTTCGGAGCGGAGTTTTATGGAATCGCACGTTAGGCGATACGGCCGTAAAATGTTGTTTCGAGTAGGAGGTAAACGAGAGGAAAGGCGGTCTTTCGCCAATGTACGGACCCAGCAGCATCGCGTTATGCGTTCGGCTGAAATAGCGAACGACGCGATGATGTGGCGCACAAAACAAGCGGAGGAAATTGCCAGTTAGTTGAAGGTTCGATTTTTCAGAGCCAATAATAGTCGATCTGCAGGACGCGATGCAGCGTTGGTAACGAAAAGTGGTGGAAAAGGGGAGCTAGACAGAGAGAGAGAGAGAAAGAGAGAGGGGGGGAGGAGGAAGGGAAGGAGAGAGAAAGAGAGAGAGTGAGAGGTAGGTGCGACCTGCATAGAACGGCTGCTAGAAAGCTCGGCGTAGGAAATGAGATCTACAAGTGAGCGAACTGGACGAGCGCGGGTGTACCGCCGAAATGCAATTTTCATCCGGCTGCAGTCGTCCGCTTCTGCAACGCGCGCAGCGGCTGCAGCTGCTGTCACGCCGACCAATTCTCTTCCCCCCCTTCGCTCCTCTCGTCGTTCACATCCCTGGGTTTTTTTTCCCGCACCACATCACCATTCCCTCGATATGTTTACCGGACTGATTGCATTCGCGTAGACAAATAATCTGATATTACGATGAAACAATCCAAGCGCGATGTTGCGAAATGCACGTAGCGGCTCGCGCATGGTAAACGTGTACAGAGAACGGCGACCCGATTTATTGGTACACCGCAGACGATTGCCCGATGATGAATCGCATGACACATCGCGAAAGTACACGCCCGCAGAAGTTTAAAACGAGAACGCGTTTATTTTTCCAACAGACGATTTTTTGCGCCGCTATGACCCTTGTTGAGCGTTTCTTGTGCCGGACGGGATAACGAAATTCACGAAATACACGTAGGGCAAAAATGTGCAGAGAACATAGACAGGAGCATAGAAGGAGATGTGGAGAGCCAGAGAAAGAAGAGAGAGAGAGAGAAAGAGGAGA